AACGACAGCAGAAATCGCCGCCACCTTGACTTTTTTCCTCTCCCCCATTTCCCTCCCCATCGGAGTGAAATCGTCGAAAACCAGCGCAAGTGAGTGTAAATCAAGTAAAATATTTTGATTCAAAACAGTGTAAATACTAACGGAGAATTGTGATCGAAAATACCCCTCTTTGCTTTCGTCCACGTTGCAGAGGATCCAAATCCCTCTTTGGACTCCAACAGACCGGGTGTCTGCTCACAGGCCGCGACAGCACCTACACGTGCGAGGGCGCATCGAACTTGTGTGGGCGGTGACTGGAGCCCACACATGCTTATTTTATTAGTGCGGGTCCACTCGAGTGCATCTAAGGCCCTAGATGGTATCCTATGCAGGCTTCGTGCGCCACGGTAACAAATAAGACGGCCTGTTACGGAATACGAAAACGGGTTTTTGTCAGGATCCGAACCCGATATTAAAAGCTCGTGAAGGTATCCTATGACGTCTTGTCGGATAAAAACAGCAGAATAAAGAGGCATGTAACTTGTGTAGGCTATGGAGTTATGATATTCTAGGGGGTCAAGTTAACTAACTTAGTCCTGCCAGTTTTATTATGCAAGTTTAATCAAATAATATAGTATTTCGGTTAATATAAATTATAGGTTAAAAAGAGATCGATTACACTTTTGTATGTAACAAGCTGGTAGGAAAATGATGCCATGATTGGAGAACGATAATGCGCATTGAGTAGCCATAGTGAGACTTGTCTGAAATAACATGAAGAAAAAAAAAAGCGTTTTCATATCTTCCTCATATTATTTATTTATTTATTATTTATTTTTGATAAGTGAAATTGCAAATATAGTACATATACCGAATCCAGACGTGCCTAGATGTACAAAATCCAACCACATGTAGGTACCGAAATTAATTTATCATACTCCCATCTTTGGTCTTTTTTTCTAAATATCCCTAGCTACAAGATTAGAACACATATTTGACCTTACGGTTTAAGAAAGCAAGTAGTGCTTATCTGTTCTTGATAAACATAAAATATCCTTTTACCATTCTAACAATTCACTGTCCACTTTGTAAATATACACCGGTTTTTTCGTCTTCTGATAAAAATGTCTTTCTACCTTTACATTTTTTTCCATATAATAAGTTCGAATGCACATTATTAACCAAGGTCTAGTGGAAATCCACAACGACAATCATCTTCACTATTAAAAAAAAAGGTGTAA